GTTTTCAATTGAAAATAGACCCTACTCGGCATTGCTGCATCCAAAAACAAAGTCATCAGTATTTGTTTTTCTGATAATAAATTTTGTCAAAAAGAGATAGACCAACCGTTAGGCCAAAGTTATTAAGAAGTCATTCCAATAAGTTTATAGTTTATAAGTTCTGATTGCTGATAATATAAAAAATATTTTAAGTTTCTAATTGTAAGTACAATCCTGTGTTTTATAAGCTCAATATATTGCGATTGTATGAATTGTGATAGTATTAATATATCTAAACCGGAAATTTGAGTGGATAAAAACTCTATGTTGACAGAACTGTTTTATCATTAGTAACAGCTCGTTTTTTTGTTGTCCTGTCTTGTTAATTCGTTTTTTATTTTAAATTATATACTTATAATCAAAATTGTGTTTACAGATAATTAAATCAAAGAAATATATAAATATATATGCTTTAAAATACTAGTACAATATAATTTATTATTTTTTTCGAAATATTTAGAGCTTTTCTTTTGCAAATTATGGCCCAAATTAATGTTGATATATATGCATGATCAAAAGAAATTTTCTGACATCTTTTGACCATATGGATACTATGTTTGTTAGTTTTGTTCTTCCGCAATATTCTCTCAAGATTGGAAAAAAGATATAATTTAGTTATATGATGTTATATTGCAATTTTTTATCTACTAAAATATTTTGGTAAAACCCTAAAGCTACTTGCATTTTCCATTTTAATATCATGTACTAAATACTAAACGATGCGAGATGATACATTTTCCATTTATTCCATGATTTTCTTACATATTAATTTTTGTACATTTTGTACATTTTAATATATTTTTTTCTTTTACCAGAAGTAATCGTTTCGTCAACATAAGCAGAGAAAGTTTTTTGAATCATTCAAATCGGATGCTTATTTCTCTCAAAAACTGCCATTTTCTGCACTCTTTGATCCGTATTTCCGAAACGGCTGAACCTGCCTTTGCCAAAATCTAATCACTACTTCTCCCCATCATTGCGAATTGAATGTTTTTTTGGATCATTCAAATCGGGTGCTCCGTTCTCTCAAAAACTCGATTTCTATTTTCTGCACTCTTTGCTCCGTATCTCTTAAACGGCTGAACCTGCCTTTGCGAAAAACTAATCAGCACATCTCTCTATCAATAAGAATCGAATGCTTTTTGAATCATTTAAATCGGTTGAACCATGCGCCTGAAAACGTGAACGAAAAATTGTATCCATACATACACACACAAATATATTTTTTCTAAGGTGTGCTAAAATGTGCAGAAACCTTCAAAACGCGAAAAAATGCAAAAATTTTCAATTTCGATTTTTGGGCGATTACAGTAACTTTTATCCTACGGGAAGTTAATGACACCGAAAAATTTGCGACGGAATTCATTATTCTGAAACAGTCATAGTTTTTAATGAAATCGTGTTAATTTTTATTTGTTCGTGCGACCTTGCTCTGTAATATAAGCAATTGAACTGAAGCCAACGTAGTTGCTACAAATACGTGTTAATTAGTGAAGATTAAAAATGATTTTGTTTTAAAATCGATAGTTGCATCTATCTACTGTTTCAATTTCAACAGTTTTGTGAAGATTTACTATTGACTTACAGCCTTCAAAGTGAGACAATCATAACGTTTGCATATTGTTTTATGTGCTTATCACAGATTATTAATATTTTATTTATTACAATTCCGCAGAAATGAAAAAACTAGATTGTATGTGATTTTATCAGCTTTTATCGGTTTCCGCATTTGAGATAACTTTATTCCATATCATTGGAGGCAGGTTTAGCATTACTCATATTTGCACTAGGTATTATATTGTTTATTTTGTTATTAAACTATACATTTTTAATTGGTATAAAATACGTTTTTGCATTAAACTAATTATGAATATTTGTATAAATTCGTATTTAAAGAATTGTTATCGTTCTGCGTCAATATCAAGATATGAATTTCTTGTTAAAAAAAATTATTTGTAAGACTTATTGCTTTGTTTTTTAAAACCAAGTGAGCGAAGAGATTGAATTCAAATTATTAATTTTTCATCCATGCTATTTAATATTTACAAATTTCATTAACAGTGAATGTATAAATAATATTACAAATCAAATTCGTCGGTGTATGTACTTTGTGAGTTTTCAATAAAGTGTATAAAGAATGTGGAATGTATAATTTTTATTTAATATGACGTTGGTCAATATTAGTAATAACCGTGAAATGTAATTAAATGTATAGTGGGTTTTGTGCCACATTTTTATGAAAATGGAATTTCAAAATATACTGTTCAGGGTGCGTACCCACTGAATACTGGCAGTCTTAGTTTTGGTCTTGTAATAAGTGAAAGCTAAATAGAATTTAAATATTTGTTACATTTGAACTACATAGTCATGTTTACTTAAAAAATATAGACGTACCTTTTAGCAAAAAATTTGGTGTTGTTTGTTATACTGCTTTTAAGAAAAATGTTTTCTATGAGACCACGAGACCTTACTTTTCGAATTACAATGATCGGTTTTATTTATATTTAATTGAAGTCATAGGTTTTTTAATGATTATTTATGTGATCAAAAAATATTTTTTAAAATGATATAATAAAAAATATAATGAAGGTTTTATAGATTTTTTTTTCTGGAACGGCTTTGTGTAAAAAGATCCTTCGTCGTTTTGAACTATGTATGTATTAGTCCAATCATTATAGTAAGTTCACCTCGGAATTTGAGATACCCAGCTGTAAGTCTGTAAATACCATAAAATAGCACCCTAAAAGTTGTGTGGGGAAATCAAGCAGGCTAGTGATTGTAAAAAAAACAATTTGACTTGTCATATTTTGATATTATTAATTTTTATAGTCAATAAATTTTTTATATTTTTATACAAGTGGAGTTTATACTTTCATATACATTACTACTCCCACATTGGTGACCCACGACGATTGAGATGAAGACAAAGAGGAGTATTTTTCTGAGGATTTAAAAAATATAGATTTTGATGCAGCACCATAATCACTGGTCTTCAGTGACTATTTATAAGGTACGTCCAGTCCTCGGTTCATCGTAGTTAACGCACTTACTATCTGATACCGGACTTTCGTTGGTATACCCATTTAGTATACCCAGACCTCAGTGTTTATTGCTGGCACAAAAAAATAATTTGGAGCCTAGACTTTTCATTGGAATGCAATTCAACCTCTCCTTGTCCGTTAACTCAATAAATCGTCTTCTGATGCATTAAACTTTGGAACTGCATCTGTCAAGATGATGACTCTTTAATACGTTCTCCTTCAAATCACATCCGGTTCGAGAGTCCGATGTATGATACAAAGGGCTACTGAAGTCGACAAGATTATTTTAATCATTGTGAAAATTCATATTCTTACAGAGCGCCATCTGTTTACCCAAAATATTGTAGAAACTAGCTGTAAGTGGAATTCTGTCTTAAGGCAGTTAGGGCATCGTGCCTTAAGGCAAATTGCTGAAACTTCCCGTACCAAAAATTATTATTTTTTTTAAAAACGATTAACATTTTTGAAAAAAATTTACTTCGAAAAAATAAGATTTTTGAGAAACTATAAATTGGACAAAAAATTACTTTTTTTAAAAAAAAAAATTTTTTAAAAAAAAAATTATTAAATTAAAAAGACAAAAGACAAAATATTAAGCGCGTAAGCGCGGCGTCGCTGTCTAACGCGTAAACATTGATACGGAACCCATAGGAAAATAAACAAAATTTATACTTATTGTTAAAATCTCTATAAAATATCAGAAAATTTGATGTGCATATGTCTAATGTTCATTTTTGACCGCCAAATGGCTCATTTTTTTACTTTTTCCTCCATATCTCCGAAACCGCTAGACCTACCTTCATGAAAATTTTATCGATTCTTCATCTTGTCAATACAAGTGACATGTTTTTTGAATTATTAAAATCGGACGCTCCGTTCTCTTAAAAACTGAGTTACCGTTTTCGACACTTTTTGCCCCGTATCTCCGGAACGGCTAGACTTGCCTTCGCGAAAAACTAATCAGCACGTCTCCTTATCAATATGAATCGAATGTTTTTTGAATTATTCAAATCGGTTGATCCGTGTTCCCGAAATCGTCGACGAAAATTTGTATCCGCACATACATACACACACGCACACACACACACACACATACATCCATTTTTTCTAAGGTATGCCAAAATGTTCAGAAACCTCTGAAACGTAAAGATATATAAAAATTTTTATTTTCGATTTTTTTGCGATTACTATAACTTACCCTACGGGAAGTTAATAAAAATTAATACAGTAGATCGTGGCTGAATCTTCGAAGTTCACCAAGACATCGAGGTTCAGGAAGTTCACTACATGACTTATATTCAGAACCATAAGCAGAGTTTGAAGATGATGGAAGGTCGAATTACCTACCATACGGTGGATCTGCCGACGAAACTGTCATTTATTTCTAATTGACCAGTATCACAACACTGCTATAATTTGTTTTCCCACCATTTATTTATAACGTGTTTCCCTGTATTTTTTTTTAAACTGTGAGGTCAACCTGGGCAGGGAGTGTGTGGGGAAATCAAGCAGGCTAGTGATTGTAAAAAAACAATTGGACTTGTCATATTTTGATATCATTAATTTTTATAGTCAATAAATTTTATATATTTTTATACAAGTGGAGTTTATGCTTTCATATACATTACTACTCCCACATTACTACTCTCAAAACCTACATATGGTTGGGTGCACGTGCCATATGTAGGTTCTGAGACAACTTTTAGGGTGTTCTTTTAGGGTATTTACAGACTTACAGCTGGGTGTCTTGAGTTCCGAGATTCTTACCTGATTTAAGCATGAATGACTGGACAATTATGTTCATGTCATGGCTAATTGAGAACACTGTTACACGCAATAACTACTCTTGATTATAAATTGTGTTAAATTGATGTTATAAATTGTGCAATAATTTCCGATTTTTTTTTTATTTAATTCTAGAAATGAGCCAAACAGTTGCGTTCGGGATGAGACATTAATGAAATGGCAGTTCCCATGCTGAAACCCTTAACCAAAGTTTATATAACCGTGATCGTTGGCGCTTGCGTGGTATTGTATCAATACCACCTTTATAACACATGGAGCGGTGATATCTTTCAAAGGGCGGAAGCCCGGCAAGATGTGGACACAGATCACAATTTCGACAGTAGTCGGGGTAAAGATCAGTCAAATATCCAAAGAATGATCAGCGAACTGCAGGCGCAGCGTAATGTGTTCGCGTCCGCGGACTCTTGGCTCTGGGATAGGATGCGCACAGAGCTCAACAGCCAGTATCAGATTCAACATCCGGCCCTTGTGAGTAAAATTTTGTTGTTTAGCATTCATATCTGTATCAATAAAACATACAGTGGAGACTAGAGTCACGTTTTCATTTAACTAATTTTACACATCATCAACAGATGTGTATTCAACGAATCGTGCTCTCCAAACATGTGGTTGATGATAATTTACGACTAGTAGTGGATGGCGTTATGCCTTAAGGCGAATTGCCGGAATTTTCCGAACCGTAATTTAAAGTTTTTTAAAAATGCATTCAATTTTAAATTTGAAATAAAAAAATTAATTTTTTTTTGAAAATTTTGGAAAAAAATAAATGTTTAGATTGAGAATTAAAAAAATTTTTGATTTTTTTTTAAATTTCGATTTTTTTTTAATATTTTATGATTTTTTTCCTTTTTAACTTCAGGTAATTATAGTAATGGGCCGAAAATCGAAAATGAAAATTTTTGCACATCTTCACATTTTGAAAGTTTCTGAACATTTTGTCAGAAAAAAATGGATGCATGTGTGTTTTGTATGTCAGGTTCAAAAAACATTCGATTCCTATTGATAGGGAGATGTGCTGATTAGTTTTTGGCAAAGGCAGGTCTAGTCGTTACGGAGATACGGAGCAAAGAGTGCACAAAATAAAAATCGAGTTTTTGAAAGAACGGAGTATCCGATTTGAATGATCCAAAAAGCATTCAATTCGTAATTATATGGAGAAGTGGTGATTAGTTTTTGGCAAAGACAGGTCAAACCGTTTCAAAAATACGGAGCTAAATGTACAAAAAATTGCAGTTTTTGAGAGAACTAAGCATCCGATTTGAATGATTGAAAAAACTTTCTGCTTGTGTTGGCAAAACAATTGCTTTTGAAAAAAAATTATTTAATTTTTTTTTCATTTTTTTTGTATATCGAAAATAATTCAAATTTTGTTTTTAATTCTTGCTAATAGTGTGCTTTTAATTCTAAATCACACTTTAACTTTGCAATTCAGTTTATATAATTCTTATAAATATTAGACAATATCAATTCAAAAAACATTTAATATTCCTTGAACATTTTGTTACGGTACGGAAAGTTCCAGCAATTTCCTTAAGGCACGATGCCACCACTAGTTTTTTTTTTTGAAAATTTTAAAACCCCTTCAAGTCAGTCGATTGGTCCATACTGTCGAAAAAGTCGAGGGCATTTTCTTGAACTATATCAAACAAATCTTGGTTCAGAACCAATAGAAATAAAAACAAATATTATAATTATTATTAAAATCTCCATAAATCGTCTTATAATTTGATACGCCTATGAGTAATGATTATTTTTGACCGCTAAATTTTTTAAACTTTTTCCTGGATCACCGAAACCGCTGAACCTGCCTTCGCAAAAAATTAATCAATTCAAGTCGGACATTCCGTTCTTTTTAATAGTGAATTGGCATTTCCGTGGCTTAGCTTATAATAAAAACTTTCAAGTTCGATACCCACCACGGACAACCTGGTGTCAAGCAGTAGTGACACCGGTTATGTTTCCAAGTGAAAATAGCCCTACGGAGCATTGCTGCAATATATCACCATTAGAAAGTCCAAAGAAGATATCCAAAAATAGATAAGAGCAGTACCTCAGTTAGGAAAATCGATGTATTGTCTTTAAGAAGCGCGTCTTTACCTAGAAATAAGCATCGTTGAAAACAGTTCATACAACACTTAAAAGTTCTGATTTCCCTTAAAAAAATATTGTATGGACTAGATAAACAGTTTAAACAGTTTCTTTGTTAGTATGAATACGCAGTTTATCGTCAATATTATTGGAGTTTTTGTTTTCGGTTATGCCCATATCGTCGTACTGCTTCGTTTATCAGCGAAAGTTCATATAAAAAAATGAATATTCAAAGAATTACTCAATTAAAACAATTAATACCCAAAAAAACTATTACATTTATGATACTGATGTACATAAAGCTTATTGTTCATCTCGTTTTTCAATATTGTATTTTTGAAAATGAATATACCATTTTACAAAATTGAATCTAATATGGATATTTAACTTCCCAATTGATTTTGATAATCACTCGCAAAATACGAAATTATTTTTTTATCTGTTTTTTACATTTCTCAATTAATTTTGCTTTTATCGCAGAAAAAACTAGTGGGGCGCGTGGCATCGTGCCTTAAGACAAATTGCTGGAGCTTCCCGTACCAAAAAAAATTTTTTTTAAAAAGATTAACATTTTTGAAAAAAATTTACTCTGAAAAAATGAGATTTTTGAGAAACTATAAATTTTTGACAAAAACTTACTTAACTTAAAGACTTCTTGAAGAAAAAATTATTTTGAAATATTTTGGAAATTCTAAACTTTTTTTTCAAACCAATCGTACTTTAACCTCATAGAGACGAAATATCGAAGCGCGTAAGCGCCGCTTCGCCGTCTAACAGATAAGCACTGGTACGGAACCCATAGGAATGTAAACAAAATTTATACTTATTGTTAAAATCTCTATAAAATATCTGATAATTTGATGTGCATATTTCTAATGATCATTTCTGACCGCCAAATGGCATTTTTTTTACTTTTTTTACTAGATCTCCGAAACCGCTAGACCTACCTTTATGAAAATTTGATCAGTTTTTCATCTTGTTAATGCAAGTAAAAGTTTTTTGAATTATTCAAATCGGACGCTCCGTTCTCCTAAAAACTGAGTTATCGTTTTTGGCATTTTTTGCCCCATATCTTCGGAACGGCTAGCCTTGCCTTTGCCAAAAACTAATCAGCACGTCTCCTTATCAATACGAATCGAATGTTTTTTGAATTATTCAAATCGCTTCATCCGTGTTCCCAAAATCGTCTACGAAAATTTGTATCCGAACACACACACATGCACGCACACATGTTCAGAAGGTTCTGAAACGTAAAGATATATAAAAATTTTCATTTTCGATTTTTTTGCGATTACTATAACTTGCTCTACGGGAAGGTAATAAGTGTAGGGTGAAAATGTGTATTATGTATTTGTATGTATGTTAGAATTTGCCACGATTTAGAAATAACGATGTAATCGATTTGAATGAATCGAAAAATCTTCGGTTCGTACTGACAATGCACAGAACTAGATATACATATACGTTTCGGAGATACGGCGGGAAAAAGACCAGAAATGATTATTTGGTATATGAATATAAAATTATCAGATTTCTATCAGAAACGTAGCTTGCCTAAATTTGTAGGCAAGCTACGCTTTGCAGTAAATTTACTCTACTCTATCCTGGTCACTCAAATTTACTTTGCTCTACACTTACTTTTCACTGGTCGTCAAACTTATCATAATTTTTTTTTAACTTCCCGTAGGGTAAGGTATAGTAATTTCACGCCATGCATGTGTATTTCAGGTGGTGCAGAAACCAAATATTATTCAAATTTATATCTGATACATCATGATATCTTATATTACGTTACATTACTCTTTATCAGGCTTCCGACCAGGTATCAAAACCCGATGTGCCTCCCCTGTACGTCATAACGCCAACGTACAGGCGGTCAGAACAATTGGCCGACTTGACCAGGTTGGCGCACACTCTGATGCACGTTCCGAATTTGCACTGGCTGGTCATCGAGGACGCAGAAGTCGCTACCCCTCTCGTAACAAAGTACCTTCAAAGGACGGGCATGAATGTCGTCCACCTTACAGGTAAAGATGATTATTAGAAAAAGTAAATCAATGTTCTTATTTCAGAAGTTGAATGAAATTTTATTATTTATATTTGTATGACACGACGGGGTCTGTGGAGTGGATTAAGTGGCACAACTAGTGTGAAATTTTCAAAAAACCGAATTTTCAATTTTTTCATATTTCGATATACCTTTAAAAATAATACACAATTTTAAATCGATATCTTAAATAGTTTTTGAGTCACCACAATGTAAAGATTATATATATAGTATTATAGTATAACGATCATTTTATCTTTAAACGCGTTTTTCTCGAAACAGCATTTTCCGAATTTGCTGCAGCGATTACTCAAAAACAAATGATCCGATCACTATCGATTTTTTTACATGTTCTATATATAGTTCTCCGTAAAATGAACTATCGATTTTTTGATCGGATCAAAAATTGAATTTTGGCAGTCCGAAAACGACCAAAATTTTGAGTAAAATTCGACTTTTTTTTAGAAAAACGCTGTCATTTTCTCAATTTTTGATTTTTTTTTCTTTATCGTAGTTCATTTTACAGACAATATTATCTAGTTTAACGAGATTTTTTTTTTTAAATTTCATCCACGTAGAAGGCCGGAATCACTGCAGCAGTGAAGGGCCTTCTTTTGTCGCGCCGTTGGAGATCGACGATAACTTAAAAAATATTTAATTTTTTTCTTCAAAAACTTTACTATGTATTCTTAAAATATGTATAAATATATTCCTAAAATTTTGAAATGATTGATAACGTAGTTTTTTTAATATAAATTCCAAAAAATCACCTTTTTTTAGGCGGATTATACTAGTTGTGCCCCTTAAGTGGATCTTACTGTTGTATTATATTTATTATGTCTGGAACAATGCCATTGTGTTGTTCCAGATTGCATTATTTTTTGCCCCAGATATGTATGTGTGTGTGGTTTTCTGGCTCCAAGCCATTGTATCAAGGTTAATTATTGGTCGTAACTTTTCCAGCCTGTAGATTTTTTTCATAGTCCAGCATGATTTTTGCTAGCGATTTTATCATATGATACCAAAAAATTGTTAGCATTGGTATATTTAGTAATTTAATTAAGTCGACTGTAATGCTGTTAAAACGATTATATTGGCGCCTCACTGTATTTAATGAAAATTTCGAGCATTGTTTGAAAATTATCGTTTAATTTACTTTTTATAATTTTTCAGATATATAATATTCAATATTTTGTATATGATGGAAGGTATATAGCTAGAAACTTTTTAAACACACAACCATCCAGATAATAGAAAGAAAACTCAATCATGTTACTAAAAATTAAACTAGTGGGGCGCATGGTATCGTGCCTTAAGGCAAATTGCTCGAACTTCCCGTAGCAATTTTTTTTTTTTAAAAGATTAACATTTTTGAAAAAAAAATATTCTGAAAAAATTAGATTTTTGAGAAACTATACATTTTTGATAAATTTTTTTTTTTTTATTTATTTTTGTTCTTTATTTTGACATAATTTGGAAATTCTGAACTTTTTTTCAAAGCAATCGTACTGCTAGACGAAATATCGAAGCGCGTAAGCGCCGCGTCGCCGTCTAATGGATAAACATTGGTACGGAACCCATAGGAATGTAAACAAAATTCATACTTATTGTTAAAATCTCTGTAAAATATCTGATAATTTGATGTGCATATGTCTAATGATCATTTTTGACGGCCAAATGGCATTTTTTTTTACTTTTTTTACTAGATCTCCGAAACCGCTAGACCTGCCTTCATGAAAGTTTGATTCTTCATCTTGCCAATAAAAGTAAAATGTTTTTTGAATTATTAAAATCGGACGCTCCGTTCTCTTAAAAACTGAGTTACCATTTTTGGCACTTTTGCCTCGTATCTTCGGAACGGATAGACCTACCCCCGCTAAAAATTAATCATCATGTCTGCTTATCAGTACGAATCGAATGTTTTTTGAATTATTTAAATCGGTTGATCGGTGTTCCCGAAATCGTCGACGAAAATTTGTATCCGCACACACACACACACGCACACGCACACACATACATCCATTTTTTCTAAGATATGCCAAAATATTCAGAAACCTTTGAAACGTAAAGATATATAAAAATATTCATTTTCGATTTTTTGCGATTACTATAACGTGCACTACGGGAAGTTAATTAATCTTTTAATGACGTTTATAGAAAGATATGTAAGTCTATTAAATTTGTTTAGAAACATAATTTAGTTTTCACTCAATTACCTGGATGGATGCCATTGTTCAAAGTTTTTGAACAATGCAAACATAATGCTCTACCGCTTATAATGAAAACAAAAAACATTCAAAGTGCAAGTAATGATTATCAAATAATTAAAATTGAAAAACATTTGTGGAAGATTGAATTGTATTGCGTTGTGAATTAAGTTCGTCTTAAAATAGCCGTTATTATTCAATTTTGGATTAGACCTCTTAGTTATTTTTCCTAACTATTTCTTTATTTGATTGATCCTTATTTCAGTTAATTTCATGATAATCCTATCAAAAATGAGTATTAATATGTTGGCTAGAAAATGCGTATCGCGTGCAAATAACAAAGCTGGCTATATGGAGCTTCGTAGATTTGTATTGCGTGTAAGTAGCCTTGAGTGAGATAATTTATGCATTAATACTACAAAGGATTGTTATCACTTCCATTAAATTTAATAAAGCAATATCCAAATTGAAATGACTTACTTCATCTAATTGCTCGACTGGGTCAATACTAATGTATTATTGAATAAGATACCATATAACAAAGAAGTTATTAATGTCTCTATAGTAACAAACGTTTGCGTAATTATATAATTCTATGATAAATTCACGATATTATTAATTTTAAAATTGACCTATTTGAAAATAAAAATTGAGAGTAAAAACTTTTAATGGGCTTGGCCCATTATATCCCACTTCGATGAATTTTTATAATTAAGCCACTGTAAATCTATAATTGCAACAATTAATCACGAAGAAACAGCGCGTCTTTCTCTACCAAAAACTAATAAGCACTAAACCCAACAAACACCGTTTTCATATTTTTTAAATTTTTGAATTTGGTTCAGGATTTTTGGCTAAAATGTGGACGAAAATTTTTGCACTTATCTGCTGATTCTAAAGAACGGTTCTGCCGATCGTCGCAAAATCCTAATTAACGCGAGTACTTATCGAATCAATGGATTGCTTTTAAATTTTTGAAATAGGTGCAAACTTTTGGAAAAACATCAACAAGAAGTCAAAATTTGGCTCCCGTGGACACAATCACATACATGTACATATATACATATTACATACTTCTTCCAATTTTGGTCTCAAACGTTTCGAAACAACTTGAAACGTCGAGAAAACAGATAAAAAAAAAGTTGTTTATATTGGGCGTGTCGCATATGTTTTTCAATGTAGTTTTTACCTGAACACGAATCTAAAGCCAAATTTGAGGGTTGAATGGCAAAAATTCGAAAAAATTAAAAGAAACTAAAGCTTTGATCTGGTAATTTTTCTGCATGATTTTTAAAATCTTATTATTTCTGTCGTTTCCTGACTCTTTTTACATGAAATGACTATTGAGTATTTACTTAAATGATCTATTAATTATTTTTTTTGTAGATTACAGCAGTAATTTGCAAACATATTTTCAGATATTCAGTTGCAATTGCAACCAATAGGCAACAATAATTGAAATATTATCATTTCTGTCGTTTCCTGACTCTTTTTACCTTAAATGACTAATTAGAATTAACTTAAATGATCTATTATTTTTTTGTAGATTACATCAGTAAATTGCAAACATATTTTCAGATATTCAATTGCAATCGCAACCAATGGCCAATGGGGAATAAATATGTTTGCAAATTACTGCTGAATTATACAAAAAAACTCAGTAGATCTTTGAATTGAAACTTAATAGTGATTTAAGGTAAAAAGGGCCAGGAAACGACAGAAATTATTTAAGATTTCAATTATAATGGAGAAGAATGATTAGATCGGAGATTTTGTCGTTCTTTTTTTTCAATTCTCTGCCATTTGACCCGCCAATTATGACCTTAGATTAATTAATAGTAATTCAAGGTAAAATGGCCAGGAAACGATAGAAATTATTTAAGATTTTATCGTTCTTTTTTTCAATTTTCTACCAAATCCCCAAATTTTGACTTTAAATTAATTAATAGTAATTTAAGTAAAAGAGGCCAGGAACGACAGAAAATTATTTAAGATTTAATTATAATGGAGAAGAATGATTACATCGGAGATTTTGTCGTTTTTTTTTTCAGTTCTCTACCATTTGACTCCTAATTTCGACTCTAGATTCGTGCTTAGCGGTTAAAACTACATTAGAAAACAAATGCCACATACCCAAAACAGACAACTTTTTTGTGGACCTGTGCTATTAGTTATAATTGTTAATTATAATTATAATTTTCTTTCTTTGTTTTTTTTTTAATGAGTGTGGTGCTATTTAAAAATGCATCGGATTTTGTGGACAAAACTGTTGTCATGCATCGATGGCCTGGTGTTTGGGAAACTAATTTTACATATGCGCTATAAATGCAACGCCTTTATGGAGCACGTGTCAGCAATACTCTATAAATACGATTCTGCAGCCGGTTATTTATCTATCACTATCGCTTCAACACAAAACAGCGATTCAAATAATTGAACAAATATGATCTATGAATATCAATAATTAGACTGTTAATTAATGCTTCGCGTGGTCTATAAAATATTTTTACAGTAGAAATGGCTGCGAATGCACGCAGCGTGTCGCTTCCTCATTCAAATTAAAATCGTTAGTATTACAATATCGCGCTTTCGCGATTATGCCTGTATGATGTATGATGTATGAGTTCTTTACGTGCCTTTTAATCCGATATTTATACGAAAGTTTTTGATCGATGTTTTAACATAGAATTCATTTGTATCAAATCTAGCACGGATAGTTGCAAACCACACGCCTCTGAGTTTCAATAAATTTTTGAAATGTATATATATATATATATATATATATATATATATATAATTTTTCTAACATGAGATTTTTTTTAATAGGCATCCAGATAATAGAAAGAAAACCAAATTGTTTCCTAAAATGTTAAATTTAATTGACTTTCTTACGGTTCGAGTCCCAGTTTGACACTTTTTGAGTGTCTTATTAAAATTAACAAGTGGTTATGGCATTATGCATTAAGGCAAACAGCTGGAACTTTCCGTACCAAAAATTAAATTCTGTATAAAAGATAATTTTTTTTAAATTTTGAAAGTTAGAATTTTTTTTTTTTTATTTTGAAGTATTTTGGATTTTTTTTTTCTAAAGCAAACGCACTGCTTAGCTTCATAAAATATCCGATAATTTCATGTGCATAAGTCTAATGATCATATTTGACCGCCAAATGGCATTTTTTTAAAAAAAAATATAGATCTCCGAAACCGCTAGACCTGCTTTTCCAAAAATTTAATCAGTTTTTAATCTTGTCAATACAAGTAAAATGTTCTTTAAATTATTAAAATCGGACGCTCCGTTCTCTTAAAAACTGAGTTACCGTTTTTGGCTGTTTTTGTCCCGTTTCTTCGGATCGGCTAGACCTGCCTTTAGGAACTAATCAGCACTTCTCCTTATCAATCGAATATTTTTTTGTTTTATTCAAATCGGTTAATCGGTGTTCCCGAAATCGTCGACGAAAATTTGTATCCGCATACACACACTTACACGCACACACACACACACCCATTTTTCAAGGTATGCCAAAATGTTCAAAAACCTTTAAAACGTAAAGATATTAAAATTTATTTTTGTTTTTTTTTTGCAATTATTATAACTTACCCTACGGGAAGTTAATTATTATATATTAAATTTCAATGAAAATATTCAAACCTAACAACGTAAATAACACATGATATAAAAATAAAATGGAGTGATAAATAAAAAATTTACAACACAAATTATTTGAAAAACACAAACCCAATCGTGGTATTCAAGGATCCAAGATAGAAATGATCAAAGAAAAAATTTACTTGAATGGACAAAAAACGTCATCACTCAATATATTGATTAAAAAAAAAAGTAAATTTGATGACTTTTATTATTAGAAAACGTGTCTTAAGCGGGATAGGGACATGTTTCTAAATGGAAGGACCGGTGTTATATGAAAAATCGTATTGACCATAATCGTCTTAACGGGTTCTTATTGTATTATATTAAGCCCGGACCAGAGCATTTGCCTTGCTATTCTGAAATTTTGAATTATATTTTAAAAATTCTAAACGCGGTAACGCGTTTTATTTGCTGGACTTCAAAATCGACAATGTTTTATTAATTCTATATAATGTAATTAAAAATCTTTGAAAAAAATATTATTTTCAGTATTAGAATATTTGTTAAATGGCATAATTTGCATGATATTAATTAACGCGTGTTCAGTTCAAAGAGCCTGCATATTATCTCTTCTATCAATTGTAAGTCTGTATATCGGATATGAAAGCTTCTTTACAATGATTTATATCTATTTATATCTATTTATATATATATATATATATATATATATATATAACATGCAGTAGTATTTCAAATCGTTAAAGATGTATACTGAGTAATTTTATATTACTATAACAAAAAAAGTTTTCTTTATGATTTAAATTTTTCTTAATGAATTTTACAGACGTTTTGAACCCTTTCTTGTCTTATCTTCAATGTATATAATTAAAAACCACAATTACCACAAACGATGAACAAATTATGTGTATAACAGTCACATCTGTAAAATAAAATATTTCATTTTGAAAAATCAAACCAAAATTAAAAATATATGACAACAATTTTGAGGTGTGATTCACACCTCAAAATTGTTGTCATATATTTTTAATTTTGGTTTGATTTTTCAAAATGAAATATTTTATTTTTTCACACCGTGTGAACTCATAAGTTTGGTAAATATGACTTAGAGGTGTCATTTGTTTCTTGTTTATGATTGTTTTTTTTATTAATTATCTGTATGTGTTCATATGTGTGTATTATGCATGTATGTTTGCATTAGTATAAATGACGCCTCGCCATCTATTTCTTCATTTTACCCTGTACTATACTTTTGGTTTGAATTTAATAGAAAACATAAAATTATGAAATATTTTTGTGTTCATGATTTAATAATTTATGTTAAAATTGATTGTTGATTATATGATAAAATTTTATTTTAGCACCGATGCCAAAGAAATATAAAAGTAAGACGGTGAAACCCCGAGGAGTTTCCAACCGAAATCGTGGCTTGGAGTGGATTCGCGCCAACGCCACAACCGGCGTTTTTTACTTTGCCGATGATGACAATACTTATGATCTACAACTCTTCAAACAAGTCAGTATAAGTAAAACAATTTTTTATTATCATAATAATAGTATATGTATTGTTTAAACATTTTTAATTTGCAGATGCGCTACACGAAACGTGTGTCTATGTGGCCTGTAGGTTTAATCACGAAATTGGGGGTGAGCAGTCCGGTAGTTAAGAATGGAACGCTTGTAGGATTTTATGATGGGTAAGTGATAGTAATTATAACAATTATTTATAAGATTCTTAAGATAAGAAAACTAATATAAAATAATATAAAATAAAATTAATTATAAAAACATCGTACTCCTTAATATAAAAGATATATCTGCGAACCCTATATTATTATATGTATTGGGTTGTTTGGAAAGTAACTTCGTTTTTATAGACATTTTGTCACGCAATTTTCGAACAATAAACAAATACTTTAATAAATTATGTATTAGCAGTTTTGGCCGAACATCTTTTGTCATATTTATGGAATTAGCATAATTCCGAGAACATACATTTTTTGGTCGTTATTGGCAAAAAACTGATAAAAGTGCTTTTTGACATGCTGGTTTGAGGTAATGGTTTTACAGCCCAAAAAATTTAATAGTGGCCGGAACAAATAATGGTCCGATGATGGCAAGTCTGGAGAATATGATGAATGGGTCATTGGGTCCCATTAAAGCTACAAAAGCTTTTGGCGATTGATCAAACTTATGTGAGGTCTTGCGTCGTCTTGATGCAGGACTTATACCTTGCTTGTGGGTCAATTCTGACCTTTGTTATTGAAGTATATCATTTAGTTTATCCAGCTGATGACATAAGGCATCCGAATTAACTTTTATGTTATCCCGGAAAAGCTGAAAAATGAACAACTCGTTTAAAATTTTACCAAACATACTGCATCACCTTTGTCTGGCAAATTTCAGCTTTGCACCTGTTTTGATCAGGTTTTTCTTTTTTGTTTCATTGGAAATTGTGTGTATTGTATTCTTTATATTCTATTTGACATTTTTAGTGGCAATTCGCTTCAAAACCTGACAATTTTCAGGACTTTTCAGAGGCGAATCGCGGACGCCAGTGAGACGACACACGTTTCTTTCTATGAGAACCATACATTGAGTTTCGAGAAAAACTCCAGACCTTTTGGGTAGTCATAAACTGTTAAATTTAATAAATTTTAACTCAATGTATTTTAACTCATGTATTGTTATTCGCCGATTTGCATCAACTAATGCCTTTCTCGCGTCTTTATCAGCTTCAATCGTACTTTTCAATCGTGAAGTTGGTGCATCTTGGACATCAAAATACCAGGAATGAAATTTAGCAAATCAGTTTTAGCACTGTCGTACTATCAACACGTCATTTCCGTGCACATTAGTCAATTTCATTTTGTCTTAAACAGTATTTTCACCTTTTCTATAGCAAACGAGTAAAATATGTCGAAAATGCTGATTAATTCTTTCCGTATGCAAAGTGGGACCATCTGAAAACTACTGCATGTAAATGATTAGAATTTTTTACACTCAAGCCTTGAAATATTTTTTCAAATCATATAATAATTACAGGGCTTAAATGTGATGTTAGGTTCAAAAAATATAGTTAAATTCTGGTGGTAAAAAAACGAAGTGACTTTCCGAACAACCTTATATACTATATTTGATTGTACTTCTAACAGTTATCTCAGTTGATTACTCTACATTGTACGGCTTTATAATTTTAATAACCAAAACTTAATGATTTATGCGTTTTTTGGCAGATGGATGGCTAATCGCAAATTTCCCGTTGATATGGCTGGTTTCGCGATAAACGTTGAGTTTCTACATTCGCGTCCAGATGCCAAAATGCCATATAGGCCAGGCTTCGAAGAAGATGGCTTTTTGATTAGTCTTAAACCATTTGAACCCAAAGATATCGAGCTAATGGCCGATAATTGCACTAAGGTGAATTATTTTTAATTAATTAACATACATATATTTTTAAATTCAAATACATAAATTGTGTCAATATATTTTTTAGATCTTGGCATGGCATACGCAAACAAAGAAGAATGAACCATCTTTGCCTTTAGACTTGAAAAAATATTCTGATACGAATCTCGTGGAGTTGAAGAAGATTCTTGTCTGATAATTCTGCATAAAATAACCAGTCGAACAAATAGAAAAAAAAACATAATTAAAATTACAGTTGATTCCTATTACCATAGGATATTAATAATAATAATTCTAACCATAGTTTAAAATTCCAGATCCAAAAAATGTCTTTAAAATTCTTAAGTAACACGACTATAAATTTTAGTCATATATACTCATTTTGCATTAGGCTATCGTCTCTTTTTCTTCGAATATTTAGCGAATTATTAAATGCGTAATATTTATTACGTTATCAAATTGGGCCGAGAACAACTTATAATACATGTGGAATGCAAACGCAAAATAATCGGTCGTGGTTTGTTGTTTATATAACTTGGTTATAGTATAATTAGCGATTATCGTTTATTTTGATACGAAATTATTGCAACTATTCAAATGTTTTCACATACATTCATTCATTTAGTTATTTTATTTCTAAAGATAACAAGAAATTACTTTTGCTCAAGTATTGGTGCAAATACAAAATACATTTATCAACAATTGAATCATAGTCGAATAATTTTCGCAATTTTCATGATGATTTAGCAAAGTATTTTTCAATGATTTTTGTCTCAAATTAAATTTATTTTGTTGGGCGATATTTAATTAATTTTGGTCCGAAATAATTTGATGCTGTTATAGTTTTTGAACTTATTTATTTTTAAATTTACTAATATTATATTTAACTCTAAATATTATAAAATCGAAATCGAAAACCACTTTTATCGAAATGCTGATTCGAATCCAAAATTTTATCGACCATCTTATTTTAGTTGAAATAACCTTTGCAGCTGTAAATCTGTTAAAAATTTATTGCTTTGATAAAGATGTGTTGTATTCTGTGATCCATTTGTTAATATAATATAATGCATGTAATAACTTTTTTCTAGATAAAGAAAATCGAATTCTAAAGTTAGATCTGTATCTATAACAAGCTTCTGGTTGCCGAGGCTGGGAAAACTAATCCTTAAACTTATTGAATGGACTTATAGAAAATGTGGTGGTTTTTGGTGCAGGTTCACTTTCCTTTTTTTAATAACTTAAGTCTATAAAAATCCAGTGCTGTTATAGTATTTTGATTTATCCTAATTTATAATTATTTCTATTAATTCATGCGTTAGACAATCATAATAAAACGGCATGACAAGTGTGTATGTATATAAAAATAACTTGTTGATGAAGTAAAATTAAATGGCAATGTATGTGGAACACCGATTATTATATTGATATTATCGAGCAAAACTTTCATTGACGAATTTTGCGTTTGCTTTCCATGTGAGTATCTGGAGTTGGGCCTAATTTATAAATATTATATTGTGATATGTTAACAAAGTTAATATTTGTAAGCAATTTGTGAATGCAAATTACCCGTATGAAGACAGGATGTGTGACATTAAACTACGATAATCCTAACCTTTTCAATAAAAATATTCAAAATAAAAATTGTTTTTGTTATTTATTACGTTTGATCATCTTTAGGATATTGATCATTATCCTAAAGACCTTGATTTTTTAAAATTAGAAATTAGGATTTTTTAAAATATTCTTGTTCACTATATTTTATATCGCGTTTTCGATATGTTGCTACAATACTGTTGTATAAATATAAGGTGACTAACGTCCAGGTTTGGCCAGGACAGTCCCAGATTTGCACCTTGTGGCCGGGTATTTCTAAAAGCAATATTTGTCCCGGATTGCACCGGTTTTTCGAAAATTTTATGTAAATTACTATAAATTATGAAAACAAGGAAACAAGTGCTGTTTTTTTTTAATTAATTATGAAGAAAGTGGTATAGAATTTTGTACAGGGCTCAAAAGCAAAAAGAATAAGATATAATATCGTAGGTAAAAAGTATACATATAGTCGAAACAAAGTTCTTATTAAAAGTTAATTAATATAAATAATATATAGTCTTACAAACTATATAATTTAAATGGCATTTCCCCGTCCCGGATTTTAATACTTAAAATTTTCCTTCCCGGTTTTGAATTAAAAAAATATGGTCACCTTAATAAATACATATAAATATAGGTTTATTGGAAAAAAAAATTCATAAAGAAATACTTCCTTACGTTTAATATTCGCGTAGGCCTTCTCCGTGAAGAGATTTGCAACCTAAGGTTTCATACCTTGATATCAAGCAGTAGTGATTTTACTTGAAAATATAGGTGTAATTTACGTTTACAATATAAAAATAGCTCTTCCTCGGCATTGCTGCATCAAATGAAAAATGTATCATCAGTATTAGAGAAATTTTAATAATAAAAATATAAATATAGGTCAACCAGTTGGGTTGCTTTCTGAAAATGCTACGTAGTTAATTATCACCATAACAGTTCATAGGTTTTTTAAGTTTCTATTTAAAAAACAAACAACCAAAAAATACTCTCGAAAGATATAAATGTTATCTCAAGTAGAAACGTAGTTCGTTTAAATAAACACGCAATATACTTCTCATAAGTTTATAAATTATGGATATTATTGTCATGTTTTTTTTTTCACTGTAATAAATTATATAAAGATTTAAATCAATCTACAATAATAACTTATTGCTTATATTTATATTATATATTATATGTTTTTCTGCATTATGATAAATGGTTGTAAATTTTCATTGGCATGCGGGTATAAATTCATATCCATCAATTGTTTTGCTTAAATTTTACTCTGATTTATTATCGGTAGTATTAGCAATTGGAACTATAATAATAGTTTCAAGTTTAATCTAATGTTTGAAAACCTGTAACAATAATATGCATATCTTGCTGAAATGTAAACATTTATAATATTTTATGTCAATACTAAATTTAAAAAGTATGTGTGTGTGTATGTGAACAGATTTTTTGCCGTAAATCGACGTTTCTCAAAAACGGCTGGACCCATTTCAAAAATTCAAAAGCCATTCGATGTCTATGAGGACTAGCGTTCATCAGTTCTGTGCAACGATCTGCCAAGCCGTTTCTTTATAAATAGCAGAAAAGTAAAAAAAAATTCGTGGTTTTAGCCCGCAATTCTGAATCGATTTTGAAAATTCAAAAACCGCTCGAAAAATATTGGTTGGGAATCGTGGCGATTAGTTTTTGGTAAAAATGCCGGGCCGTTTTCTAGTAATAAAGTGTTAAAAAAAAATTTCGGCGATTTTTATGAATTTTTTTTGACGGTAGATACCATAGTCTTATAGATCATACTAAAATATTACGGCCCTACGACAAGTCGTTTAACTTTAAAAATTCGTCAAAGTTTGCAAAAATTAGTATCGTATTTTTTGGCATTTATCAAAATTAGATTCTTCATCGACGTTTACTCTAAAACGCCTTAACCGATTTTAGAAATTTGTTTGATGCATCTCGATGAGGATTGTCGTTTCTCAGTTTTGTGCGACGATCGGCCGAGCCGTTTCTTTGCAATTTGAAAAAAAGTGTTAAACTTTCTGTCTACATTTAAGCTCATACTGCCGAATCGATTTTGAAAAATCAAAAACTGTTTGAAAGGTATTAGTTGGGAATGATACTGATAGTTTTAGATGAAAATCTACCGAGCCGTTTTCTTGTAATTAACTGTTGAAAAAAAATGTAAGTCGATTTTTATGGAACTATATTTTGAGCGATATATATCATGGTCTTATAGAACTTATTGAAATACATCGGCCTTATAACAAGTAGATTAAGTTTAAAAATTCATCAAAGTTTGAGAAAATGAGTAGTTTTTTACGTTTGTTAAAATTAAAATTGGACGATTTACTTGGTATAACGATAGAGTACTTGCTTATGTTTATTTATCTATGAGTACTTTTGAAAATGTGCTTTTAGAAAATACTCCGAGTTAACGTGTTCGTTCGTTTTGAATTATGTGTAATAAATCCACTCGGAAAATCACTCATAAATTAATTTATTTTTTATTGATTAAGTCGATTATTAACACATATCGGTAGGTGCATGTAATAGCCTCAAGGCAAAATACCAATACCTACTAGTTTTCTGTTATTTTGAGATCTTTATGCATACTAAAATTTCATTCAAAATGACATTTAAATTTTGTCGTTATGGTCGTTATGTCGCTGGTTTGAATCATTGCTTAGAGTTTATTCACAGGGTGGGCAAGGCTGAGCGTTGTTAATTATTTAAAGAACATGCCAGCAACTTCACAGTGAAAATTTCCCAAGTATTATGATTGCAAAGCGCAGCATTTCATTTTAGTTTTGTCACATTGTTTATCTTGGCTTCAATTGACGTTCTAGACATTTAAGACTAAATTTTAGATTAAGAGAAGATATATATATATTTTTTACGCATTATTCGAATTTTGTTTGATCTCAGAAAATCTTTGAATGTAACAAAAATGTCAGGCGCAGAGTCACCAAGGGATGGTCCTGCCGCGAATGCCGGAGTATCTTCCAATATTAGCTCGTTTCGAATGAGCGAAGGGGATTGGATTTGTAGTGATCCACAGTTAGTAAACAACAAAACAAAAAATTTCATTTGCTTGTTTTTTATATTTTGCGTCGATAAAACGTAGTGCACCGAAATGAATTTTTGTGTACAAGGTGTTATTATTTCGTTTCTTTCTGAATTTCTAAAACTTAGTTTAATCAATGAAAAAATTGGTCAATAGATGCATGTATGTTATCATGGTAGGGTTTTGGTTTCAAAGATTTGTTTTATATATTTTTATCACTCAAATTATCAAGTTAGATATAACATTTTTCACAAATAGTTATGTCAAAGTTTATTTTATCTCACTATTGATGTGCATGGAGTTGTGATGTGTAAGAGTTCACAAAATGTTGCTGGAAGATTGAGTTATACTTATATACATTAGTGTAATCAACATCTTTATGTTTACATAAGCCTTATGTTGTATTTAATCTTAATTATATCTGTCAAGACTAACATAATTTCATTCATTGATATTGAAATTGGAACCATTGCATTGCTTTTTCTCTTGATTTTAGATGTGCTAACATCAATTTTGCTAGAAGAACCAGTTGCAATCGATGTAACAAAGAACGAAGTGATTATCAGAGTAAGAAAAAACTCGGTACAGAAATAGGCAAAGCAGCTGCTGAAAAATCTCGTGGTTTGTTTAGTGCTGAAGATTGGCAATGTTGCAAGTATGATACAATGTTATAACAATAATTTTAGTGAAAATTAAGGTTTTTTATAACTTTTATTATATCCTATCATGTTTAACAAACTCACAGATGTAGCAATGTTAACTGGGCACGCCGTCCCACATGTAATATGTGCAATGCTCCTAAATTTGTTGAGGTTGAAGAGAGAACTGGTTTGGGAGGAGGCTATAATGACAGAGGAGTTGTTGAATACAAGCAAAGGGATGATTCTGATAATGAGTATGATGAGGTAATTGTTATCTAGGTAAATATTGAATGTTAATTTAATGTCTTCCTAAATAATATAACATAATCACATAAAAATTGAAGATGATTGTCCATTTTTAGTATTTTAATTACACATATATTAATAAAAACTTACATGCATTTAGTATATGAAATGGACAATATTTTAGTGTCTAAATCATATTAGTATTTAATCATTTTGCAAGATGTATGAAATTAAAAGATATTATCAGTTTGGTCGCAGAAGGAAAAAGCGAGATTCATATTCCAATTCCAAAATGAAAAGGGATTATTACGAACCGCCTCAGAAGCCAGCAGTTCGTGAGGAAGATGAAGAAGAAGAGGAAGATGATGATGATGAAGAGGTAGAGTTGAACTAATTTTAATTATTTATTAGTTACTAATTTATTTTTTTAATTGCTTCTTTCTTTTATTAAGGGCGGTGATTTATCAAAATATGATTTATGGGGAGAAGATGATGTTGAAAGCACAAAAGACAATTTGAAGAACAAAAATGAGAGATTTTCTAGAAATACACTTTCTCGTTCAAGATCTCGGTCAAGATCTCCCATCAATGAGAATAATCTGTTTAATAGAAGAACTAAAGCACGGTAATTTGAACATTTCAATAGAGCCTTGCAATACTTCTGAACTAGCAGATGTATATAAGCGCTAAAGTAATGTCATTCCAGTGCTCTTAATTCACTCGAAATTACAATTGCATAAGATAATGTTTGATTGAACTTTTAATCTAGTAAAAGAAGTTTAAGTTATTTATATTAATAACGATTATTAATTGTTAGGCTTCCAAAATTGTAATATTTTCTGAAAGGACACGCAGGTTGGCCTTAACTGCTCTTTTAGGCCTTTGTAAGCTTTTGGTAGTGTTAGATATATTAATTGTAAATAAAATTGTATTGACTTATGTTTATAACAAAAAAATTCATTCGAATTATTTTATGAAGATTTTTTTTATAAATATGATGCTATTGCTAATCAGCAAAGCTTATTACATGTGCTACAGAAGTATGCATAGTTTTCAAAGATCTTAAGATAAATTCCTTCAAATTATATATTTAAGTTGATACAAATGTTAATATCATGCTTATTGTATGATGAAATTGTAATAAAAATATTACATCCAAAATTTATCTGATATTTCAATACTTTAACAACACATTCATTGCTTCATAAAATGTTTGTTACTTCATCATTGAAAATTTTTAACTTACCTTTTAAAGATTTTTTTTTTTTTATTTTACTGTTTTTCATGTTTGTCGTGTCAGCATTAAATTTTGGAAGTTACATGCTCTTATATGTACATAATTGTTTTAATTCATTTGAAACTTATTATTATTTTTACAGATGGCAAGCTTTTTAGATACAAAAGGATGGACTAAACTGCGGTAATGATTCAGATTTTTAAATAAATTTTGTAATTTTTTATTGTAATTTTAATGACTATTTGTATTTTTTTAACTAGAGGTAGTTTTTGTGAATTTTATTTAAATAAATGTTATTTACGACGTATTTTCATATATAAGAAAGTTATAGTTTGATTTTATTTTATGCATATTGTTCACTGAATTTTATGTTGTAATTCAAATCGACGCATTTTTGCTCTTGATCGTGCGACGAGGCCATCTTTTGTTCAGAAGCGTAAGGACGAATAAGAAATGTCAAAATGGCCGAGTTAACAGTTTGTTGCACACATTTTAACTAGGACCTGATATGTATGACTTGCTTCGTGATTTAAAAGTCACACATATTTGTGTATTTTATTATTAAAAGATTATTTATAGTAATGTTATTTTAATCAGTATTAGGTATGTTTAGTAATCGGATGGTAGTGTGTAGCTACTGATGTTGTGCAATACAAATATTTAACTTGACGTATGATGCAAATAAAAAAACGTGTCAAACTGTGGAAAATTATGGAAGTTTTATGATTTATATTTTTTGCAAGGGATTTTAATTAAACAGACCTGCTTATTTTTATATTATCTGCACGGTAATCATTATTATCATTTTCTAATATCTATTAAATGCTTATTTTCAATATTTAATCTGATTGAAAATGTGACACCTTGCAATACAGGTGTACATACCAATGATTTAAAGATTGTGAATTTCAGGGAGTGTCATTTGCATTATAATCACCTATAATTTATTGACCGTTTATATTTTATAGATATTTTTATGCTCTGATTATTTTCTTTTGTTACTTTTTCAAATTATCATGGTACAATTTATTCATTGAATTTGAACCGACAATATATTGATATCTGAAAAGTTTAATATTTTTGTCAAAACGTTCCAAGTAAATTGCAATAACAAATTAAATACTTGTACCAAATGAAATTTACAAAGTTTAATTTTATTCTAAGTTACTGTAATACATCATTTTGTGTCAGTGATACATATTCATTTCGTATGTATGAACGCTTCTCATATTGAAAAAAAAGGTGAAATTTTATTGCTTAATTGTTTAAGAATTTCTTTTTAATTTTAGCTTATAATTAGTGAGCACCATGTCTACTTCGGCTGTATATATTCTGGATGTGAAGGGGAAGGTTTTGATATCTCGTAATTATCGAGGAAACATTGATTTGGGTGTTATTGATAAATTTATGCCACTTCTTATGGAAAAAGAGGAAGAAGGAATGGTTACACCTATATTACAAACAGCAGATTGCATATTTGCATATATAAAGACAAATAATCTGTATATAGTATCTACTACAAAGAAAAATGCAAACATTGCTCTTGTTTTCGTATTTTTGCATAAAATTGTACAGGTATTCACATTTATGTTTTTGAAAGTTACATTAATTATAGAGTGTTCAAAACACTAGATAAAATAATATCCATATTCTCCTCTCAGATTTATTTCACGCTTGACAATTTTGTAGTTACTATATTATATTATTTTGGTAAATTTCTTACTTCATTTGTAGGTCATGGTAGAATATTTCAAGGAACTGGAAGAAGAGAGCATAAGAGACAATTTTGTTGTGATTTATGAACTACTAGATGAGCTTTTAGATTTTGGTTATCCTCAAACTACTGACAGCAAAATATTGCAAGAGTATATTACTCAAGAAGGGCATAAGTTAGAAATTCAACCTCGTATTCCTATGGCAGTTACAAATGCTGTATCATGGCGCTCAGAAGGTGTCAAGTACCGAAAAAATGAAGTATTTTTAGATGTAATAGAATCCGTAAATCTTTTGGCAAATGTAAATGGCAATGTTCTAAGAAGTGAAATTGTCGGTGCTATTAAAATGAGAGTATATCTATCAGGAATGCCAGAATTAAGATTAGGCTTAAATGATAAAGTTCTATTTGAAAGCACAGGCAGGGGTAAGTCAAAATCTGTGGAACTTGAGGATGTGAAGTTTCACCAATGTGTGCGATTATCTAGATTTGAAAATGATCGAACCATATCATTTATTCCTCCTGATGGAGAGTTTGAGTTAATGTCTTATCGACTTAACACACATGTAAAACCCTTGATATGGATTGAATCAGTAATTGAAAGGCACGCACACAGCCGTGTAGAATACATGATCAAAGCTAAGTCACAATTTAAAAGACGGTCAACTGCAAATAATGTGGAGATACTGATTCCTGTACCAGCTGATGCAGATTCCCCGAAGTTTAAAACAACAATTGGAAGTGTTAAATATGCTCCTGATTTGAATGCATTTACTTGGTCCATAAAATCATTTCCAGTAAGTTTTTATGACATATCCATCTGATAAATGTAACTACAATACTAACTAATAATGATTTTTTAAGGGTGGTAAAGAATACCTAATGAGAGCACATTTTGGATTGCCAAGTGTGGAATGTGAAGATACGGAAGGAAAACCCCCAATACAAGTGAAATTTGAGATTCCTTACTTCACTACATCTGGAATTCAGGTATAAATGCTAAATGTGACAGTTTTTAGTTGAAGTCATTGAATAAGAGAACTTATGATATCTTTAATCTCAGGTACGATACTTGAAAATAATAGAAAAGAGTGGCTATCAAGCATTACCATGGGTTCGGTACATTACGCAGAATGGTGATTATCAACTAAGAACTAACTAAAAATAAATCATTCCCTATTATATAGTAATATTGTAAAATAAAAATCGTGTATCATAAAGGAAATTATTTTTTATGAAATATGGCCGAGTGATGACCGTACATATTTTACAACTGTATGAATTTGGATTAAAAATAAATACCTATGTATAATAATATGAAAATAACTATTATAATTACAACAATTATAGTTTTGAATAAAAATCAGTTATAAAATCACAAAAACTGATTTATATTTTACAGCAAAATTGCTTATAATTAAGCTTCTTATTATAATTAATTTTTTATTTCATTTCTTTGCAAGCTCATTTGATAACCAATCGAGGCCTTCATATAAACCGTGCCCTTGTGTTGCACATGTAGCTTGAATGTACCACTGTAATAAAATTATATCGATTTAATATGTAATTCAGCTACACACAGCAAACAATTTGCTGCATTAATAATAATTTAATAAACTTCCTAATTATTATTGGCTAACTATTGAACTTACATGGCGATTACGCAGTTGGTTCAGCTGTAATTTATCAGTCAACTCTGCAGCTGACATGGCATTTGGAAGATCTTGTTTGTTTGCAAAAACTAACAAAACTGCGTCTCGTAATTCATCTTCTTGTAGCTAAAAGGCAAAGTAAATTTTACATAAAAAATATAACATTGAATAAATATTGTTTAGACCTAAACAGCTATTGAACAAAATTAATGTGCATAATTCTGTATTTTTACACAGCAGTTTAAGTCTATAACTTCAATTAGATAAAGTATTCTAACCATATTCTGCAGTTCCTTTTCAGCTTCTGTTATACGTTCTCTATCATTAGAATCAACTACAAAAATTAATCCTTGAGTGTTTTGAAAATAATGACGCCATAGAGGCCTAATTTTGTCTTGACCGCCTACGTCCCACACAGTAAAGCATATATTCTTGTATTCTACAGTCTCAACATTAAATCCAATTGTCGGAATTGTGGTAACTATTTCACCTAATTTTAACTTGTAAAGAATAGTAGTTTTGCCTGCTGCATCTAAACCAACTGAAAAAGGAAAATGTAATAAATTCATCATATCTCTAAAAAAAACATGAGCATCATCTTAAAACAGTTGACAATAGTTGTTCAATATGTGTAAACTAAGAAATTATTTTAAAAAATGGTATTGTGATAATGTATTTGAATATAATCTTAATAATAATATCAAGTAAACTTTTTTTTGCCAAAAGAGTATTGTTATACTATAAATTGTTCAACAAAGTGCATGTAATTACAACATGAGTCATGGCCTTGGCGCAAACATAAAAGTATATTTGTTACAAAATATTTATCAAAGGAGTAGTTGCTAGTTATTGCCTTATGGCGTAGTATAAAACAAAAATGATTGAACTTCGGTAAATTTAACAAGATTACTTTTCCCAAAAAAACTATTCACCACTACAAATATATAAAACATAAGTGCAACAAAGTGATATTTATAATAATTGTGCATAAAAAATCCTCATAATTCACTTAATTAAAGACAAACCAATCGCAAGCTAAGCAAATGTCACTTGTGTCGGTGTGGCGATAACCTTACCCATTAAAATTCTCATTTGCTTTTTCCCGAACAACCGGGTTAAAACACTAGATATCGTTAAGCCCATTTTAATAACGAATACACTATAATTGTAGGTGGGATGATTATTACATTAGATATTAACTAATGCCACGTCAAATGGACGTTAAAATACGCGTTCTACACTAGTTGACAAGAAGAATTATTGTGACTGTCATAGTCATGAACGAAGTTGCATTTAAGCCAGTGCACGCAGAGCGTCGCTGCGTGGTTTTGTAATTACTACATTGGTAATCGGTAATTGGTAATTGTCTTACTTTACTTACCTGTGGCCGGTGCACGACCGCATGGGACAGATAAACGACATTTCTGACATTTCTCTTGTCTTTAAGGTAAATTTACTATAGGAGAATTTAAGTTAGGGTTAAACCATTATAAGACATTTGTTTATATATGTTTTCTAGTAAATGACATGATCAAATACGCACGAATCAAGAGTATATAAGTGAATTTTAAAACATAGTCGAATTTGAATTTGGCTTGATCTGATAATACATCTTGTAAGTTCTGAACACTTGCATATGTATATATGTGTGTGTATATATATATACATATATAATTGGCTGAATGAAGTTCTTGGCGTTTTTTTTACTGAAACTGAACAGAATTTTTTATAGTGTGAAAGTAAACTTATTTAAAATAAACATGCTCCATTATCATTGATAGCAGCGCGATGTCCATTTTCAATTGAAAATATAGATCAAAAATATGTTTCCAATTGAAAATAAGCCCAGCTCGGGCACTGCGGTGTGAAATGGCAATGGGAAATCTCTCACACTATTATTCCCTGAATCGAGTTGGAGTTTAACTGCCCTAGGGCAGCACACCCATTATTTATTTTATTTTATCATTGATAATGTTTTACCATTTTTTGGGTAAAGTCATGATGCCATCGGTAAAGAACTTCAATGGTTTCTTATTGAAAAACTGAATTCATTGCTTTTTACAGGCTTATTTTGAAATTAATTTAATTCCATTAAGAGAGTTCTTAGACAGAGGATGACTGAACTATACCCTGGATGCATCCAAATTTCTTTGCCATCTCCAGCATTTGCAACTTTCGGCAGGTCACCAAAAAAGTACATGGTTAGGCATTGTCATGATAGAAGACAATATCTTCAATTCTTTCCATTTTCTTTTGGCATTACATGGTTGGGCATTGTCCTGATTAAAGACAATATCTTCAATTAAGACCATTTTGTTTTGGCAGGTCACCAAAAAAGTACATGGTTGGGCATCGTCATGATAGAAGACAATATCTTCAATTCTTTCCATTTTCTTTTGGCATTACATGGTTAGGCATTGTCCTGATAGAAGACAATATCTTCAATTCAGGCCATTTTTTTTTGACAGGTCACCAAAAAAGTACATGGTTGGGCATTGTCATGAGAGAAAGCAATATCTTCAATTCTGGCTGTTTTTTTTTGGCAGGTTACCAAAGAAGTACATGGTTGGGCATTGTCATGATAGAAGACAATATCTTCAATTCAGGCGGTTTTCTTTTGGCAGGTCACCAAAAAAGTATATGGTTGGGCATTGTCATGATAGAAGACAATATCTTCAATTCAGGCTGTTTTCTTTTGGCAGGTTACCAAAAAAGAACATGGTTGGGCATTGTCATGATAGAAAGCAATATCTTCAATTCTGGCCATTTTCTTTTGGCAGGTCACCAAAGAAGTACATGGTTGGGCATTGTCATGATAGAAGACAATATCTTCAATTCAGGCGGTTTTCTTTTGGCAGGTCACCAGAAAAGTATATGGTTGGGCATTGTCATGATAGAAGACAATATCTTCAATTCAGGCCGTTTTATTTTGGCAGGTCACTAAAAAAGCATATGTTTGGGCATTGTCATGATAGAAGACAATATCTTCAATTCAAACCGTTTTCTTTTGGCAGGTCACCAAAAAAGTACATGGTTGGTCATTGTCATGATAGATGACATTATCTTCAATCTATGCCGTTTTCTTTAAATTTTTTTATGTAATCTCTCTAGTTATTTACATTAGGGTTGATGAATTAATTGTCTGACCAACTAGAAGTAGCCTTCGATTGACGGTTACACTTCAGTCCAACCACAAATATAACATCACCTTTTTCAGTGTCATATTTGACTTGTAAACGCTTGTGGTCCCTCATCATCACTTAGATCATTACCATTGGTAATGAACTTCAATGGTTTCTGATCAAAAAATTGAATCTATAGCTTTTTACAGATTCCTTTTGAAATCAGTTTAATTCCATTAAGACAGTTCTGCAGAGATCAGAACAAATGCTAGTCAGAGGGTGCTTTGTCTGAACTATATGGTGGATGCATCCAAATTTCTCCACCAAGCTCTTGCAACTTTTGGCAAGTCACCAAAAAAGTACATGGTTGGGCATTGTCATGATAGGTGACAATATCTTTAATTCAGATCGTTTTCTTTCAATTGTCAGGCGTGATTTCTCTAGTTATTTAGATTAGGGTTGATGAATTAATTGTCTGACCAATTGGAAGAAGCTTGCAATTGATGATTACCTTCTAGTCTCACCACAACACCACCTTTGTCAGTGTCTCACTACTGCATCACCTTATTCAGTGTCATTTCTGACTTGTAAACGCTTCTGGTCACTCATCACTTAACCATGATTTTTTTTGCTTTCAATAATCTATTCTTCATCACCAGTTATGAAATGTTTCAGAAGTGGTTTGATTTTATTACATTTCAGCAGCGCATCGCAAGTGTTAAATCGGTCTACCAAGTTTTTCGCGTTCAACTCATGAAGGTCCCACACATCAAGCTACCTTTTAAAGCCAGATTGGTGTAATTGGTTTAAAACAGTTTTCTGGTCAATGACTAGTTCCATACAAATGTCGACAGTGCTGATACACTTATCTAGCTGTACTTTTTCAAGAACAACAAACTTCTAAATTATTGAATGAACAGAGCATTGTATATCTTTCACATTAAAATTATCAGAATAAAATTTAGCAAGAGAAGTATTATTATTACTACCCTTGCTTACTCTTGACCAATTTAGATGGTTACTAAATTATAATAAAGCTAAAAGTGTCACCTTTTCATCGAGCATTTACTGCTACCCCTGTGATCTGTGAGAATTTGCAACTAACACTACAAAACACGCCACAAACTTTTTTCTTAAGCTATATATATATATATATATATATATATATATATATATATATTAATAATTCTCAATGTACTTTTTTGTTTGTTTCAGCTCACTCCTTTTCAAGATAGAAGCGCTATAGATATCTAGAAGTTACTAGAATTATTTACTACATTCCAAAAAAAAAAACAAAAACAGGTGAAAAGTCATTGATTACATAAACTACACTTACACTTTTTGGTTAACATAAAATAAGTTATTGTTAAATTGAGAAGGACATTTCTTATTAGGTCAAAGACAGTAACATACTGAAAAATCACAAGGTAGGAAATTTACTATTGATAAGATATATTCTTTATTGCTAACAAAGTCTTGGAACATCGGTGGTTAAAGGCTAATATTTATTTTGCCTTCAATCATTTTCTTATGGAAGTTGTTTCCAAAATCATTACATTATCAAATAAGTGTTGTTATTCTCGCATACATCATTACAAAACAATCGATCATCATATTTTCAATCATACAATCAATCAATCATATTCATTAGTAATAATAATATCCATATTATTAAATTAAATAATATAAATTTAATCAAGATTTAAATCTGTAAATATAATAATAAAATATAATTATAATATATGAATATGATAACAATTTTAAAGCATTTTTTATTCAAAGTTAATAGCCTTTTACAGCATTGCTGCATCAATATAAATATAATATAAATATATCAAATCTAATAACATAAATATATCAAATAGAGATAAACCAACTTTCGGGTTTCCTTCTAAAAAAAGATACACAGAAGAAATGTGATCAAAGAAGCTCATAGAACTCGTACATTCTGATTGCTATTCGAATAAAAGAAGAACATGATTTTGTATACAATAATAAACTCTAATTTTTTATATTATTACATCCAAAATTTTTGTATATATATATATATATATATATATATATATATAATATTTGGGATATATTTTTTTTTACAATTCTGTGTACCTACTTGGTACTACAAGGGCGATTTTCTTAGAATTCTGTGTACCAATCGAAGTATTTCTGCTGGTAGTTCACTGCATTGGTGCATGTAATAAATGTTATTTTTTTTTCAAATTTTGTAAAATTTATAACTTGGAAAGAATTACTATTCTGGACAGAGCATATCATCAACTGGATTATATCATCTGCCTGATTAAACTTTGTAACTATTGTGTCTCGATTAAGATGGTTGAATATGTAGTAGTGTGAAATTCTCAGAAAATGATTTGTAAATGATTCCAAAAGGTTATTGTTTTCATTTGTAACCAGTCTTAAAGGTTTTCATCACCATTCACTTACACTACTGTATTATACAGTAATTTAATAATTATCTGAAAACAGCTGAAATTATTTCTACGAAACAAAAAATGTTTGAGTATAATAGTTTTATTTCATAGCTTTGATCAGTGACATATCATTTCTTGCATTTACATGTATTTTCTAATTATGCACTTTGATTAGTCCTCTAAAGAAACAATAAACGTTTTTATACAGAACTAACGGCACTTTATAGTATATTTCTATGGAAATGAATTCTCATGAAAAAAATAGCTGTGCATTCTATTTCGTCTACAATATAGCCTTTTTTAAATTAATTTATTAACAATTTCAACAATTCTTCACCTAACTTAAATACATAAATATTGTAATAATAATTTCTACATCTAACATTAGCTATTCTTTGCGTTATGGTTCTAACTCCATAATTCTGTTTCTATTTAATTTAATTAATAAAACATGTAAGAAATATTAGCGTTTGCATTTTACACCGTCTAAAATCGTTTCCAATTCTAAGTCGGAAATAGTATCGGTGCGTACAATAATTAATTGATACATACAAAAGAGTTACATTCGTAAAGTTTTGGATATTTTTAGTAGAATGAACAGCATTTGATGTTGGAAGATGTTTTTGCGGAAAATTTATATGCCATTCCTTTACTGTTGAACATCCACGTCGGTGATGAAATTTCTCTTTTCCAGTATCAAATAATTCATGTTTCTATAGAGGTGCAA